ATTGTTCCTCTTGACCACATTTCTGTGTAACGGAGTTCAGACTTCTAAATTTCCTTTGATCATTATACAGATATATATATACATAAAATATGTTCATATATATATATTATGTATATATATTGTATCGGATGTTAATGTTCTTGGATTTTCCTCGATGTCTAGGCAACAGGGGTGGTAAAAAGACCCGGTTTCTCAGAGCTTTGGGATTATTGACGTTGCCCGAAACGCCTGGCGACCAAATTGATCAGAAAATAATGGAAAATATATGTTCCGTTGTCCTGTCATGTATGGGAATTTGATGCACAGGACAACTTAGAAAACCCCTATAGGAAGTGTCAAAACGGCTATTTTTCTGAGAAGTAAAATTACCTAACTGTCTTTTGATCCTCAAGGAATGATACACTCCCAAATATATACGGTTTCACGTGAAGTTTCCATTCCACCGATTCGGGGAACCAAGTTTCACACGGAGGAACCATCGACGGCATGTATTGGTACTCAAAGTGCCACTGAACCTTTTTACCTGACTTGTGGTCATAAATTTATATAGATCCAGTGAGTGTTCAGGTATAGGTACCTTGGTCCAACGTGGCCAGGGAATTCAGACTTTCAGCTCAGCGATGATCAGTGACGGTCGGTGGGCTCTCTGACAGAGTCCTCGTCGCTCTTTTTCTTGATAGCCGCTATCTTTGCCTCAGGACACCGGGCGATTGCGTTGGTGAGAGATAGTTCCGTGGAAGTAAGCTGTTTTAAAAGCTGATTACCTCGATGCTGCACCGGCTCGGAAGCATTTGTTCCAATCAAACCACATTGACACAAGCACGTTCGACTCATCCCATCCCCCTATATGATATCAAACTATGTAAATCAAACTGCTAAGCTCCAGAAACATCAGAAGCAGTTCCCCTCCAAGATCCTACCGTGGTTCCGGTGTTTCAAAACGGCCAACCAACTGCCAACTTGACTCTTGCAATCACCGGTACCCGGATCTGATGTTTGGACTCAACTGCCAAGGGATTTACAGTACCATCCTTTACCCTCTAGCCCTGTGCTCCGTGGGAATGTGACGATGACCATCCCCAAATTGAATTCTTCGTGGGTCACAACCCTTTTCACCGGAGTATCCCAAACACAAACAAATAATATCAAATAATTAACCATATTTAACCATATTGACATGTGACATCCTTTTTTGAGCCATGATACTGCTTGACATTTGGACCCCATCTTATCGCCAAGTTGCGCGCAGCGACTCCCATGGTGGGTCTAGCCCCAGAAGGCTGCGAATGTCCGGGGCCATGGCGATACGACTAAAGCCTCCGCGTACGTGGGTTCGTTGGGAGATCGCATAGGTTTAGTCCCAACATATGATGATGAATCCTATAGGCTTTTGGATGCATGTTCGGGTCCTTTTTCCGATGAGTTCCAATCATCCTGAAAGCGGGCCATTTCCAGTCCTGGTCCTTTGGGCTGTGCCGGCCTACTTTTCAATTAAACCCATCTCCAAGCGCGGGTCGATTTGCACCGCCGAGCCCTGTATCATCCAAGGAGCTCAAGGGGAACAACGTTCCGAGTGGCATAACCTTTCTCACAATGCCCGTTAGAACAGAGGGTGCCCACACATCTGCATTGAAGAGCCAGTCTTCAGCCTGGATGGTGGTGGCAATAAAATGGAGGTTTCTGGAGACGAAAAACCACCAGCCATAGAGGGAAAATACAAAACCTCCAGCTATGCAGCTATACTGGGGAAAGGTATCCCCCTTAGAAAACTACATGAAGTTTATGTCTTCGGCTTCACTTCAGAAGATGTTTAGCGTTCAGCGTGGGCAGACCATCGTTCCCTGCCTGGGCGCTCCCTCGAACGGCGATCACTCCTCGCAGCTTTGAAACTTCGAGCAGCATGGAGCCATGTCTTACCATTCTGAAACCTGGATTTTAAACAATGAAACCAAGTAAAACCATATGTTGAAATTCAAACGTGATTCAAACACTTGAGCTGGTCTTGAAAAAGGATAGACCCCCAAATCAACTGCGGTTTATCATCGTTGCATTGCCACATAGCAGCTTATTCACCCATTGTTGGACAATTTGGGCAAGATATCTCCCTCTTTTCCCACTCAATCGGTTGTGGCTTGGGCGCATAGCGACCCCAAAAAAGATTCGGAAAAGTTGGAAAATTTGAAATGGAGATTTTGTTTCCTCGAACTACCATCCTGGAAATACGGTTTCAGTTTATACTATGCCAACTCCAAGCTTTCCCAGAAATCAACAGTGGTTTCCTCAGTTCCAACCATTTTCATGTCAATGGATTCTGTTCTTTGATCGGGGGTCCATTTGATATCATTGTATATTAATGTCAATATTATTGGTGTGCCATTTACGGTGGAAACTCGTGGAAACCCTATATAATATTATATATATATTATATATTTATTTATTAAATATTTCAGGGTAAATTATAATATTTCACTAACCTGAATCTTGCGGCCATTTGGGCATGATTTCCCTTATTAACCATGATTCCAGGGTTCGGTCGAACAGTGAGGTCGTGATGAAATTTACCCAGATATTTGATAGGGGGTTCAACATGGTTCTATAGATTTTGTCCAAGGTACTGGTGTTGATGCTGGGCAGCTTGAAGACACCGATCCGTGCCACTGCCTGCCTAGGCCAGGGCTGCCCTCAAAAATTCCAGTGCCAAAATCACAAATGATACGCATGGCTTAATCAAAATGGTAATTTAGAAATTCTAATGACCAAAATGCTTGATTAGAATGGTCATAAACCTTAGTTTTCCTGATCAACATCGCCATGTTGATGGTATACACCAGGTTAGACCATGTTCAAAGACACCCAAGATCGGTACGATGTAATTGTCTAATTAACCCGGATGTGGTGAGCGTGTTGAGCTTTATCTGTCGTTACCTGAAAGTAGATCTATAGAAAACTTCATACTCCGTTTTTCGTTGGCATAGTGCGTCCCTCATGTGTGCGCAAGCGATGACACATACCCACCGTGTATTTGCTGAAAACCCTGAAAACACGGAACCCGCTCTAACTAAGTGCAGGTATCTTGTCGAACCGAGCCATACCACCGGTAAAAAAGTTTGACAATTATTGAAAAAGATTGCAGTAAAGGGTCACTGCGTCCCAACTGGTCCCAAATCAGTTTCAATCTTCAAATCCTTTTGACCATAATTTGATGGCAAAAATTGCGGGCATAGCCAACCCCATTTCTTGACAAATTCGATCATCATACTAGTTGACCATAAGGAATGTAGATATATCAATCCTTTGGCTTGCCATTGCCAGTAGTGCTTGCAATCGGGCATTGCTGGTTACATATCTCATCAATGTCCCATCAACTGGCTTCCATACTATGCATTTGTCAGATGTAATCCTAGAAGAAGCTAAAGCAAGCATACCCTCTGGTAATTTAACGTAGCTATTGAAAATGGCCATTTATAGTGGATTTTCCCATTAAAAATGATGATTTTCCATTGCTATGTTAGTTTACCAGAGGGTATCCAATTATATAATTCATTCTTTATGAGATATCAAATTGCCTCCACATTGTAACTATCCATGTTACAAATGTTGTACTTGTTGAATCCCGTTTTTGGCCAAACTCAAACATCCCCCATCATTGTTGGTTGTATCCCTGCTATAAAATATGCATATATATATATATAATATATATATACATACAATATCCCATTACATCACAATTTTGCTTCGTCTTATGTCCTAATATGTCCTAATAGTTGTTGGTTTAAAATGATGTCCACATGATGAAACACCCACTGGATTTTGGGGTGTTTCCCCGAAATTTTCCGACAAACCCAGTTTGAGTACCCAAAAAAATGATGTTTTTAACACCTCTCTACTGAACATTGTTCATTGTAAAGCCCTTTGAATCCAGTAGATTCCTTTGTGAAATCCCACCATTCCTCTTCCTCATGTCTCGACGCATATCTTGCAGTTCCTCCAGCTGAACCGGATAAAGCTCCGTGTTGTAGGTGGCATTCCTCAAGGCACCACGTCCAGCCCGGTGATTTTTGTGGGGCTTGTTTGGAAACTTGTTGAAGGCTGTAGTTTTTGGATGTTATTGGGTTGTTTAAAGATCGTTGGAGATTCTTCAAGGTGTTGCTTGATGATTACTGATGTTGACCGTTGATTGAAAGTGTTTGGTGTTTTTTTGAAGGCGTTCAATTTTTTTTAGGGTACGGTCAATGGAATAATTTGGAACATAGCCATTTCCAACATTTCCTTTGGATGGTTTCCAAGCCGATGTATTCTACAGTCCAGCGTGGTGATGGGGATCTGACAATCACCAACCTATTGTAGCATTTCAAGCTGAGACCAGCGATTCACCTGCCAAATGCAGTGACCCAGTGACCCCAGCTCGGCCATGATATCTTCCTGATGCGTCCAATAGATGGCCTGCGGAATGCTGTAATGGGGTGATGGGATGATATCCCACATGATAGGCGCCACGGGAATGATAGGCTCATGGATTGAAAGGATACTCATGATTATTGTGTGTGTTATGGTGCGTGTCGGAAGCAAATGCAACACCTGGCTTGGATTTGGCTCCGTCGCCGATTGATGTGTAGAGATCAGGTTTCCCATCAGCCATTGGCTATTGGCAACATGAGTATGCCTTCTTTCATTTTCCAGTGATTGCCACTATTTGAGAACATCGTCATTTTAAATGGAAACTATAGCGATACTTTGTGGAATTTCTTTCAAACTCAAATATACGAGTAGTATATCAGATAACCTGGCTCACCAAATCTATCCACAATTATTTATCACATATTCAGATATGGAGGTTTCCTGCAATGGGGATACCCCCAAATCATCCATTAAAAAAAAATATAAACCATCCATTTTGGGGTTCCCCATTTGTGGAACCCCCCATTTGTTGCGACCTTCTCCCTTTTGGTCCCTTTTGGTGTTTCATCGGCAAACCCGGCCTTCGCGAAGATCAACAAGTCCTGAGCCGGGACTTGGCTCTCAAAACGCAGTCCTTTTAAGTGGGGGGCGTTTTGTGATAGGTGGCCCTCACGAAAATGTAAGAAAAAATGTGTTTATTGGATTATAAATAAAGTTGATTATTGCATTATAAACCCTCACAAGAACTATAACATCTATAACTATAAACCTAAGGTGTTTCTTGGATTATAAACCCCATTCACATCCCTTAATTGACTATCACACCACAAAAATCAACGTCAAGGGGCATGCTGCCTATGTTTTCCTCGGCACAAAAGGGCTACAGATATGCCCATGATCTCAGATGAATGGCACTCCCCCTTTTTGGAGGTAGCCAAAGACGTTCCCTGACTCAAGCCCTTGAAGTCCATTGGAGATGGATGGTGTAACCTACCCATTTGGTTGGAAGGTAGGCTGATCGACGTCCCCTCCGTTGGCACACCACGACGGCCTTTCGATCATTCTCCAGCCATGCCAGTGTGAGCTGCATTGGACGTCGAATTTCATTTCCACCATCCTCTGTGTCATAGATCTTCAGCCTGGGTTGGCTATGGGTTCGTACGATCCCAAGAAGCTCAGCTGAAAGTTGAAAAACCTTGGTGTCATCTGGTGCTAGATGCTGCGGCTTCTGAAGCACCAGCTGATACATCTCCAGCGAAGAAAGGAGCGGCCAGTATCCACCCGCCACACCGTTGATGTTCACCAGAGACTCCATTGAAATGGTAGCGGAGCCAAACCACTGACGATCCTTCAGAAAGTGCTCTGCATTTCCTGATGTAAAGTGCCCAGTGAGAGCACCCATTCCTGCCATCGTCGGTCCCATCGGCTCGCAGCTTTTCCATGCTTTCAATCCTTCCACCAATTCATCCTTGGTAGTGGAGCTCTTCTTAGAAGTAGAGCTCATCAAAGTGGTCTCCATCGGTTGGGACAAAGAGGGATTTTGGGACAAAGAGAGATTTTGGGACAAAGAGCTCGGTTGAGATGTCTCCATTCTTTGAGACGAAGCCGGATTCAAGGACATAGGGCTCGGCTGAAATGACCCACTTGACGAGGATGTAGGTTCTCCATTGGTCGCGGAGCTCCCCCCTTCGTAGGATCCAATCACCCTACCCACTTTTCTCAAACCCCTGCTTGAAAACGATGTAATTCCCATGCTTGGGTCTGCAACGTTGGTGTGACTCAAACTTGTGACTCCTCGTGTCGTAGCTGTGAGATTCTCCACCTCCGTCACTTGAACTTCCATCACCTTCTCAACAATGAGCTGTGCCACTTGATCTCCTGTTCTGACCCAAAACTCCATTCCTGATCGATTGTGGATCAAGACCTTGATTTCTCCTCGAAAGTCTCGGTCAACAACTCCAGCACCAACTTCCAATCCCTTGGTAGCAAGAGCTGACCTGGTAGCAATGCGGCCATAGGTTCCATATGGCAGCTCCACAGCAATGCCTGTTCGAATCAGGGCATAGTCACCAGATGCAATTCTGACATCCTCAATGGAGCATAGGCTCAGACCAGCTGATCCTTCAGTGCCGCGAGTTGGGAGAGTCGCTGCATCATCCAGCAACTTGACCTTGAGCTCATGTCCACTTCGGCACAAATTCTTCAGATAGTCAAACCCAAAACGGCCGCACATGTCGACCAAAACCAAAATGGCTGCCACTGTTACCATCAAAAAGATCCAGCTACTGCTGCCCTCCTCCTCCATCACGCCTTCGGTTCCTGTCGTTTCAGCCGAAGACACCATCACAGATGCTGCGGCCACCAACAGGCCAAGGCTATCCTGCAGTCGTTTGGCAATTTCTCCTCCTCCAATGCTCATCTTTTTGACTTGAACTGGCTGACGACTTTCTGCAGTCATCTTCAAAGCTTGAACAAAATGCCTAAGAAGGTTCCCTTGAAGCTGTTTGGTCATCCCATCAGCGACCAAGATCTTTCCAGATTGATGCTCCAAGGTGGTCTCCCCCCTTTCTATGGCCTCATGCAGTCCTTGAGCTCTGATACGAAGGTGTCTCGTTCTCCAGCTTCCAGTCGTTCCTGAGACAATGCTGATCCCAGCCATCGAGTCAGAAAACATTCGTCCTTCTGACGGTGTTGGCTGAAGCATGTCTACGATGGACTTGATGCATCGTAGTGCGGTCAATCCCTCCAGCATTGACATCAGTTCTGACTCCGCTGTGGAAAGAGTCACGAAGCTCTGACGGCACGTGATCCAAAAAACTGGGGCACCAGCGAAGAAGCCAACCACTCCACTGACACTTCTCAGATTGGAAGATGCAAACGATGCATCTGTATAGACTTCCACCAGGTTGGCATGTCGTGCTCGACGTTGTGATCCATCTTCTCCAAAATCGCCATCCTCCAAGGGGCCATACTCCAAGGCCAAATCTGGATTGGCTCGAAGATAGCATCTGATCTCCTTCCCAATGGCCTGCACACCCTTGGGTCGTTTGGTGGCGAACTGGCTCATCAAACTGACGCCATAGCAGATGTCAGGTCGAGTTCGTCCTGCCAACCAAAGTAGTTCTCCTGTCTGTTTCTGGGCTTCTTGAACTTCCTGTGGAGTTACTGACTCCTCCTCCTCTGGGGTTTTGATGGTGCTAAGTCCTTTTCCCTGTTCATGAGGGTACTTCTCCAAGAGGTTCTGGACAAAGGACTGCTGATGCACTCGATAAACTCCATCTCGAAGTTCCAACTCCATGCCCAGAAAGCGTACTGCTTTCCCTCCTTCTTCTAACCATTCGGGAGTTCCCTCGCAGCGATGCACTGGATTGCACTGGATGATCTTCCAGATGTCCTGGTCTTCAGTCCTTTGAACAGCGAAGGTGGACCCATTCACCTCCCATGTGAATTTCACCATTCTCTCATTTCTGAATTGAGTCCACTCTTTGGGACTGGTGGTTAGTCCGTAAAGTGCTCGATCGACCAACCACAAAGTTCCAGGCTCAGCGATGCCGGCCAAGATAAAAATCTGGGGCGGCTGCACCACCACAATCTCCCTGGAGTGATCACGGGGGGCTCGAAGAAATGCTGTTTTAATATCAAGAGTGACTGCGCTCAGCTTCTCCAGCCCTCCCTTCCGTAGGATGCAGCGTACTTCGGCTGCTCCAGTTCCGCCAGCATAGGTGTCAGTGAGTGAGCGTTGGCTCATGTAGTTTCCGCAGGCACATGCTCTGCACTTCCGTCGGCCACTCCCAGCCTTCCGTGAGAAGATAGCTTTCCCAGGGATACGTTCATAGAGAATCCCTTTCTTCTCTGCTTCTCTCCTCAGCTGTTCAGCATGACTTTCTGTGATCACCCTCACTGCTCCTGTCTCTTCAGTCAACGATGTGAACTCACTCCACATGCTCTCCTTCCACTCTTCAAGCTCTGCTCGAACTTCTGATAGGGAGTACATCCTCGTTTGAAGAAAGACTCCTTGGCCCTCCACTGCAGTCTGCAGCCTTTCCGTCTCCTGAGCTTGACATTCCTTCTCCGTTTCCTCCAGTCCTTCTGCCAGATTCTCCACATCTGCCAGTAGGGCTCGTACAAAGCGGTCTGTTCCTGCCCGCTCTTCATCCTCTCGTGGTTCTGCATAGTCCACCATCATGGAGTCTTGAAGATCCAACTCTTCCATCAAGAGATGAAGTCCACGTAGGCGCCGTTGTTCAGCTTCTTCTGCTGGCACTTGAAGGCGACCCATCACTGTGGATTTTCCATAGATTCTCATCCGCTTTCCAGGTTCTCTCATCTCTCCAAGATGTACTTCTGGAAGAGACAAGTCTTCAGGCTGATCTTCAGGCTGGATGACATCAGCAGTGTGAAAGAACTTTCCGGTGTCGTCTTGGACAAAGTAGCCGGTCATAGAGGCAGACATTGAAACGTCTGGTCCATAAATCTTCACCTGCTTTCTGGTGAGCTTCCAGTCCTGATACTTCTCCTCCCAGATTCGCTGTTTTGCGAAGCCAGTCGCTCCAAAAGGAAGCAAAGCTTTCATCGGAAGCCCCAGATGTTCCAACTGACGTCTCAGCCTTCGTTCAGCTCCATGTCGAGCAGCTAGGGGCCAAAGGTCATTGGTTGATCCAGAGCTCTTGAGTAAGGTCCGTGTGGCCTTCTTGAGCATATTGACCTCGGCCTCGGCCCGGCCATTGGTTTTGTAGTCATCACCTCCGGTGTAAGTCCTGAGTATTCCACGATCCAGGGCCCATTTTCGAAGGCTCTTTGAGCGAAGTTCTCCCGCTCGGTCGCTGTGAAGCCTCCTCAAGGGTAGGTTGAGGTATCGGAGCCGGGTGTAAATTCGTGACACACCCTCCAAGATTGACGCTGCTCGTCGATCTGGCAAGATCTCCATGAAGGTCAGTTGACTCACCTTGAAGTTCTGTTCCTCCTGGATCAGGTCTTTCCACTTCTGACTGTCATCATCCTTCTCATCCTTTGGTGACTCCTCTTGGGGATCATCTTCTACCTCTAATGGGTCGACCTCCTGATCTCCTTGATGGTCGTCACCAATTGGATCTTCCTCTGGTGGGTCATTGAAGATCCCTCCTTCAAGGTCCGGTGGCGCGGCAGATCGGACTCCCTCTCCTCTAGGGCTCCCGCAGCCAACAACTCCACCGGGGGCCGCCGATCGAGTAGCCTCTCCTCCAGGCTCCTCGTGGCGAACTTCCCCATCCACATCATCCTTGATGTGGAGACCTTTTCCATCCATGGTGGTGGGCAGTGTGTAGCATCCGACTAACATGTATCGCCCATCCCCAAGTTGATCTGTTCCCTTCTTGAATGGCCCAGCCAGATCAATTCCAAGAGTGTAACTGTCTGGGGTCACGACCTTCCTGTGATGCCGTGCCTGTCCACATGCCTCCAGGCATGTTCGACACCCTCTGTAGTAGGGCTGGTGGTCGTTCTTCAGATGCCTTTTCCAATCCTCCAATGACATCTTTTTGATACCATCACCCTTCCCTCCAATGTTCTCATCCTCAAGTTCCAAGCCTCGGTTCAGTTCTCGTCGAAGAGCAGTGGCGATGGC